GTGTGTGTGTGTGTGTGTGTGTGTGTGTGTGTGTGTGTGTGTGTGTATTGCAGTCTTGCAGTGTATATTCAGTCTTGCAGCTGAAGATCATCAGCTGAGGTATATTCTCAGTCACTTCATTCATAAGGGAAATGGAATTCAGGACTACTAGGTATCTCATGAGGTGAATTTCCACCACATACTGCTCTTTCCCACAGAGTTGAAGTTTGCCTGACCCCTATCCCTGGCCTCTCTGTGGGTAAGTTTGAAAAGCAATCACCAACCAACCTCTGACAGGGGAATCAGGAAACCAATGGCCATGCATCTAATATTGGGAAGGGATTGAAAGACCCAGTGGTATGGGGTTTCTTCCTCATAGAATCTTAGCCCTCTGATGGAGGAATCGAGAATCCCATGGCCATGCATCTATACTGGGAAGGGATGAAAGGACCCAGAAATCTGGGGTTTCTTCCTCACAGAATCTAAAGTATCTCCCAGAAAAAAAGTCATCTTGCCTCTTTGATAAGATTCAGTGACAAGGAACTGACTTCTTTCTGAGGCAGCCAGCTCTTCTTTGGGGACACATTTCTCATAACACTTGAGTGAGTTGTAGGGATTTTTTTAAAGCAAAAGATGCTGCTACACACACTGTCTCCTTGGGGCCAAAGCCCATTTGTCAAGAGGTGCATGTGGTTAAGGTTTCACAGATGGCCCAGGACTCAAAGGGGATTTGGTTTGTAAAAACACTTACTGGTACCCGGTTGGGGCAGATTTCCTTTGTTGTAATCTGGAAACCAAAAGATGAACAATGAAACATGGAAGCAAAGGATAAAAGAAGAAAATTCAAATCAATTCAACAAGTATCTACACCATGTACTGCACTGGACTAGGTACTGAGGATACAATGACACAATTGAAAAGTTTCTGCCCTCAAGGAGCTTATATCTTATTAGGAAAAGGAAGAGAGCATCCATGAGGCTCAAAGGGACAACTGAAGTGAGGAGCCAGTTTGTTCTGCCCGAGGGGAGAGGGCTATGTGCATAAGGAGGTCTCCTGTCCACCCCCTAAGTCTCTGACTTGAATATTCCTGGTAGAAAAAAAGAGTAAATTTGTGGCTTAAGGGAATCCAGGATGGGGAAAACAGAGATGAGATACCTGAATCAACTCACTTTTGCTTTTCCCTTTCCTATGGAAACAGAGGAAGGCAAACCCTTTCAGTGTTTGTCCTAGAAGTCCCCACATTCCCCTCCCCAGCCTCCTGGCCTACAGGCAGGCTTAAGTACACCACGAACAAAGCCAAGATGAGCTAGATCCAGAATCCTTCGTATCTTCCCTTCTTAAACTCTCTAAAGTACAAAGGGTCTCGAGGCCTCTCGACTCCTATCTGGAGCTGAAGCAATAATCCCCCAGGCAGCAATCCCGGCAAGTGTGCAAGAGCAAATAGCATGAATGGCAAAGGACTGAAGAGTTGGCTTCTAGCAACAGTGGCGAAGCAGGGAGGATTTTATAGTGACCTGCGCAGAATGTGTAATGTTCATCACTTTGTTTTGGCTAATTGACAGCTATTTCTGCTCAAAAGTACAGGCTGAAGCAGAACCAGATCTCATCAGAACAATCTGTTAGTGGCTAAGAAATGGAATGATTGATCCATGGAATAGATCAGGTATGCAGTACACAACAGTGACCAAAATAACCTAGTGTTTGATAAACCCCAAAATCCAAGCTATTGGGGCAAGAACTCATTATTCAACAAAAACTGCTGGGAAAACTGAAAAGCAGTCTGACAGAAACTAGGCATAGACCAACATCTCACACCATATACCAAGATAAAGTCAAAATGGGTACATGATGGAGACATAGAAGGGATATCATAAGTAAATTAAGGGATCATGGAAAAATTATCTGTTTGATCTATAAATAAAAGAAGAATTCATAACCAAATAAGAATTAGAGAAGATGATGGGAGGCAAAACAGATAATATTGATTACATTAAATTAAAAAGGCTTTGCACAAAAAAAATCAATGCAGCCAAAATTAGAAGGAAAGGAGGAAATTGAGAGAAAATTTTACCACAAGTTTCTCCGATTAAAAAAAAATTATCAAATATATAGGGAACTGAACTGTTTATTAAAATAAAAGCCACTGGGGGCAGCTAGGTAGCACAGCAGATAGAGCACTGGCCCTGGAGTTAGGAGGACCTGAGTTCAAATCCAGCCTCAGACACATAACACTCACTAGCTGTGTGACACTGGGCAAGTCACTTAACCCCAATTGCCTCACCAAAAAAAAAAAAAGAAAAAAAAATAAGAGCCATTTTCCAATTAATAAATGGTCAATACATGTGGACAGGTAGTTTTCAGAAGAAAAAATTAAAACTATTAATAGTCTTGAAAAAATGCTCTAAATTACTACTAATTAGAGAAACTCAAATTAAAACACTTCTGAGATACCACTTCACATCCATCAGTTTGGCTAACATGAAAGAAAAGGAAGATGACAAATGCTGGAGGACATAAGGAAAAATAGGTGCACTGATGCACTGTTGGCAGAGTTGTGAATTGGTCCAACCATTATGGAGAATAATTTGTAATCATGCCTAAGGGATATGAAACTGCATATCCTTTGATTCAGAAATACCACTACTAGGTCTGTATCCCAAAGACATCAAAGAAGAGGGAAAAGAACCCATAGAAATATGTATAAAGATATTTCTAGCACCTCTTTTTATGGTGGGAAAGAATTGGAAATTGAGGGAATTCCCCCTTCAATTGGGGAATGGCTGAAAAAGTTGTGGTATGCAAGTATGATAGAATACTATTGTGCTATAAGAAATGACAAGCAGAATGGTTTCAGAAAAAACCTGGAAAGACTTACATGATCTGATGCAAAGTGAAGTGAGCAGAACAAGGAGAACATTGTACACAGTAACAGCAGTATTGCACAATGATCAACTGTGAATGACTTAACTATTCTCAGCAATACAATAAGTTTCTAAGACAACTCCAAAGGACTTATGATGAAAAATGTTATCCACCTCCAGAGAAAGAACTGATGCAGTCTGACTGCAGATTGAAGCACACTTTTTTCTACTTTCATTATTCTTCTTGGGGGGGTTTATGGTCTGTTTTCTTTTACAACATGACTAATATGGAAATACGTTTTGTATGACTATACATGCATAACTTACATCAAATTGATTGCCTTCTCAATGAGAGGAAGGAGGGAGGGAGAGAATTTTGAACTCAATTTTTTATGTTAAAAATTATTTTTACATATAATTTGAAAAAATAAAATATTTTTAAAAGAAACAAAAAAAGGTCCCATTATATACCAAAATATTAAAACTACCATTTTTTGTGGTAGCAAAGAATTGGAAACAAGGTAGAAGTCTATTGATTGGGAAATGGCTAAATTATGGTACATGAATATAATGGAATATTACTGCACCATAAGAGACCATGAATAGGAAGGATTCTGAGAAGCATGGGGGAAGATTTAAATCAACTGATGCAGATTAAAGTTAACAGAACTCAGAAAATTATATATAATATATACATATATGTAATATATTATGATAATCTAAGTGGAAAGAAACCCCATAACTGAATAATACCCATGACTAGCATTTATTCTGTGCTTTGAGGTTTGCAAAGGGCCTTATATATTTTAGCTGTCTAATTATAATAACAAAACTCGGCACTGGAGAAATTGAGAAAATACATCTGTCTCTTTTTGTAGAAGTGGGATACGATGAGTATAGAATACTGTCGGACATGATTTTGCAGAATTGATTTTTTCCTCTTTAAAAATTTTGCTTCTAAAGCAAAGATTTTGGCAGAGAAAGGGGGATTTGAGAAGTGAGTAGATGGTTAAGAAGATGATCTTCTAGAATGAGTTTTAAGAGTACAGGATACTAACTTAAAATATGGGAACTAATATCTCTAAGTGTCTGAGGCCATTTTTGAACTCGTCTTCCTAACTCCAGGCCTGGTTCTTTATTCACTATGCCACCTAGCTGCCCCCAAAAGAGCCTTAAACTGAAAAGGAAGGGAGACCATTGCATGTAGATGTTAAGATGGATATTGTAAAGAGTAGCCACAATTTTGGAAGAAGAATAGCAGTAGTAACACACAGAAATTCATAGGAGTCAAAAATATTGGAAAAGACCCTGGAATAAAACCTGTGCCCACAGATGTGTGTACACAAATGAACAAGCCAGGGGAACCAGAGCTTACTAAATCCTCTTACAAAGGGAGGAACCCTTTTGTAATGTGAATTGTCATTCTCTAATTTATCTGTTTTATAAATCTGGATAGTGCCTTGCACATATATAGAAAACACCAAACAAGCATTAGTTGAATTGAATAATAAAACTGCCAGTCCCCGTGACACAGGACTACAAGATAACATGACAAATCACATGGCCCTAGCTTCCGTTGCCCCTGGCTTGACAGGTGAATATGTCTCTGAACAATTGGAAATTTTAAAACTCCTAGTGGTTTTTTACTCTCCCCAGGTTGTGCCAGGGCAATGATGTTGGGGAGGGGTGGTAGCAATCACTCTCCAAGGTGCTGAAGATGCCACATTCCTACCTGTGGAAGTTCCCCTCCCTGTGGAGCCATGGTGAGTTGCAAATGTTGACGCATTGTCTAACCCAGAAACTGCAGAAAGAAGTGTTATTAGAGATGGTCAGACTGTGGCTACTCACTGATGGCGAGCTCATAGAGGCTGTGGTCATCAGAGCACCAACACAGCACTCCCCCAGCCTCCATTTAGGGGAAAGAGGGAGGGGCTTTAATAATCATTCAACAAATGAGTCAGTGTGCCATTTTGGCTACACTGGTGGCTAGCTTAGGGACTACTAAGTACAAATTAAGGCTACACAAAATGTAACCATATGAGTCTCCCTCTCACCACTTTTTCACAGAGCTGAGGTTCACCTGTGGACTTATGAATCCCCCCCCCCCTCCAGTGTCCTTGTGGGAACAGCTTGGCAAGTCACCACCAGTCAAACTCTGACAGAGAAACTGGGGGATCTCACAGGGTGAGTCCACAGCTCCAAGTCAGGAAAGGTTGGAACAATCTAGGATGCCTTTCCTTCTCTGTGAGGAGAGGCAGTCACCTTCTCCTCACAGAATCTCAGAGCTTAAAAGGCCCTCAAAGGCCATCATGTTAAAAAAATTCACTCTGCAATGTTCCTGACAAGCAGCCATCACATCCGTGCTCAAAACCTTCACGGATGGGAACTCATTATATCTTCCCACTCTAGGACTTTTCCTCCCTCAAGATACTTGAATGGGTTTTAAGGGAAGAGACTAGCAAAGTCACAATTGTTTCATATTGTTAAATCAAATCCCAACTTCCAGTGTCATAGGGGAACAAGGATAAGGATCCAAAGGGAACTTAGATGCCCAAACACTTACTGGTAGCAGGCAGGGCTGCATCATGCTCGTTATAACCTAGAAACCAAAAGACAGATAAGTAAGGGGATCACGAGATTCTGGAAGGAAAGGAAGAGAGCTCCCTAGTAACTCAATGTGAGAGGTACGGGCATACTGAGGACTATTTGCTTACTTCATGCTTCTAGGGGATCTGATCCTTGAGGAAGGGGAGATGAAAATTCTTTTATTTATTTACTCTTGGGGTCTCTGACATGAAGATTAGAGAAAAAAAGATATTTGTAATTTTGAGGGAAACTGTGGGGACATATAGATGTGAGACCCCCATCTCAATACTCTTTTCCATAGATTTGTAACCTGTTTGTCTTCTCAACCTCCGTATTTGGACAGCTTGCATGAAATCACAGACCTGGCCTCACCTCTTACCTCCTTCTGTTATCCCCTTGGGAGGCAATGTGGTGAAGAAGTCTCTGAAGCTCGCTTCAGAACCAGGAAGACCTGGGTTCAAATTCAGCTGCTTCTGGTTGACCCTGGGCAAGTCCCTTTACCTCTCAATGTCACTCTCTAAGACTCTAAGGTACAAAGCATTTATTAATATGCACTGGTAAAAGGAGTTCCCTCAGTGGAGTTCTCTGTACCTATGAAATCCCAGGCAAGGAGAGGAGGGGAGAGGAGGGGAAGGGGAGAGCAGAAGACAGGAGAGGAGAAGAGAGGAGAGGAGAGGAGACTTCAGAGTTGAAGGTGCCCTCAGAGGGCACCTATGCCACAGAAACCCTCTACAACATCCCTGACAAGTGGTCACAGAGCATCCATTTGAAGATCTCCAAGATGAGGAACTCACTACTTCTACATGTAGCCATTCCACTGCAGGAATACCTTTCTTGTGGTGCCTGAGTGAGCCACAGAGTCAAGTACTATAGTAAAAGTCACAACTACTTCATCGAGGCATAATGGGGCCCTTATCCAGGGGAACCAGACTCAAGATTCCAATATAATCCAGAACTCAAAGGGAATCCAAATGCTTAAATACTTACTGGTAGAGAGTTGGACTGGAATGTATCCATTATAACTTGTAAAACAAAAAAATATTGAATAATGAAGGGAAGGAGCACACTACCCAAACAGAGAAGGAAGAGAGATCATCAGAGAAGCTGAAAGTGGGGAGAACAGCTGAATCCAAATGATTCAATCTGAGGCCTCCTGGCACCTGGAAGATGTGCTGCTTGAAGGGGAGGAGAGGGGCATTTCCCTATGTTCCCCCAGCTCTTTGACATGAAGGCCAGTTCTGGGGATAGAAAAAGGAAACTGAGAGCTTGGGGATGGGTTGGCACAGGGAATTCAGGGGGGAGCCCTCGGGGGCTTGAGCCTAGGTACTCCAATGAACACACTCGTGCTAT